TCTGGTTTTAGTAATGGTTTAGTTCTAGTTTAGTTTAGTTTAGTTCTGGTTTTAGTCCTGGTTTAGTTCTAGTTTAGTCCTGGTTTTAGTCCTGGTTTAGTCCTAGTTTAGTCCTGGTTTTAGTCCTGGTTTAGTTCTAGTTTAGTTTAGTTTTAGTTTAGTCCTGGTTTAGTCCTAGTTTAGTCCTAGTTTAGTTCTGGTTTTAGTAATGGTTTAGTCCTAGTTTAGTCCTGGTTTTAGTCCTAGTTTAGTTCTAGTTTAGTTCTGGTTTAGTGGTTTAGTTAGTTTCTGTTTAGTTTAGTCCTGGTTTTAGTTCTTTTTAGTCTGGTTTTAGTCCTAGTTTAGTTCTGGTTTAGTTTAGTTTAGTTTAGTCCAGTTTAGTTTAGTTTAGTCTGGTTTAGTCCTAGTTTAGTCCTAGTTTAGTTCTGGTTTTAGTCCTGGTTTAGTTCTGGTTTAGTAATGTTTAGTTCTAGTTTAGTCTTAGTTTAGTTCTGGTTTTAGTCCTAGTTTAGTTCTGGTTTTAGTTTAGTCCTGTTTAGTTCTGGTTTTAGTCCTAGTTTAGTTCAGTTTACTTCTGGTTTTAGTCCTAGTTTAGTTCTGGTTTTTAGTTAGTTTAGTTCTAATTAGTCTAGTTTAGTTCTGGTTTAGTCCTAGTTTAGTTCTGGTTTTAGTCCTGGCTTAGTTCTAGTTTGGTCCTAGTTTAGTTCTGGTTTTAGTAATGGTTTAGTCCTAGTTTAGTCCTGGTTTTAGTCCTAGTTTAGTTCTGGTTCTAGTTTAGTTTAGTTCTAGTTTAGTCCTGGTTTTAGTCCTAGTTTATCCCAAAATGTGAAAACTGAAAATTACCGCCCTGTAATCCATTTATTTCAACAAAGTAACTGTAATCCAATTCCCACTCACTGAAAAAGTAACTGTAACTGAATACAGTTACTCATCATTTGTACTCTGATTACTCCAGTACATGTAATCTGTTACTCCACAACACTGAAAAACGGTGAGCAGATTTTCAAAAACAAATAAAAAAACTGGGACTCTGTTTGTGGTTCGTAAACTGCCAAAAAAACAAAATCTAGTCAAGTTCAGATGAAAATTTGATCATGATTTGAGCAAATTTCACTTGACAAATAAAAAAAGTAAAAATAAAAAATATTAAAAAATACATCTGGCTTCACTTAAAATAAGAAAAACAACAACTTTTTGCGCTTTAAATAAGAAATAAAATCATATGTTGCTTGATTCACGAAAAACAAACTTATTCCATCGGTGAATCATTTGACTTTTCAAGTTGAATCGACTCAAATAAAGTCAAAAGTTTTTTTAATTTAAGTCATTTTCACTCACCCACATATTGTTTTTTTCCAGTGTCATAATAGAATAATTAAGGATTACAGTTACTTTGTTGAAATAAATGGATTACACAGAGGGATTTTACTGTTTTCACATTTTGGGCTAAACCAGAACTAAACCAGGACTAAAACCAGACTTAAACCAGGACTGAACCAGGTCTAAAACCAGACTTAAACCAGGACTGAACCAGGTCTAAAACCAGGACTAAACCAGGACTAAAACCAGACTTAAACCAGGACTGAACCAGGACTAAACCAGGACTAAACTAGAACTAAAACCAGGTCTAAACCAGGTCTAAACCAGGACTAAAACCAGGACTAAACCAGGACTAAACTAGAACTAAAACCAGGTCTAAACCAGGTCTAAAACAGGACTAAAACAGGACTAAAACCAGGACTAAACCAGGACTAAACCAGGACTAAACCAGGACTAAAACCAGGACTAAAACCAGGACTAAAACAGGACTAAAACCAGGACTAAACCAGGACTAAACCAGGACTAAACCAGGACTAAAACCAGACTAAACCAGGACTAAACCAGGACTAAAACCAGGACTAAACCAGGACTAAACTAGAACTAAAACCAGGTCTAAACCAGGTCTAAACCAGGACTAAACCAGGACTAAACAGGACTAAAACCAGGACTAAAACAGGACTAAAACCAGACTTAAACCAGGTCTAAACCAGGACTAAAACCAGGACTAAAACCAGGACTAAAACCAGGACTAAAACCAGACTTAAACCAGGTCTAAACCAGGACTAAACCAGGACTAAAACAGGACTAAAACCAGACTTAAACCAGGACTAAACCAGGACTAAACCAGGACTAAAACCAGGACTAAAACAGGACTAAAACCAGACTTAAAGCAGGACTAAAACCAGGACTAAAACTAGGTCTAAATCAGGACTAAACTAGAACTAAAACCAGCACTAAAACCAGGACTAAACCAGGACTAAACCAGGATTAAACCAGGACTAAACCAGGACTAAACCAGGACTAAACCAGGACTAAACCAGGATAAACTAGAACTAAAACCAGCACTAAAACCAGGACTAAACCAGGATTAAACCAGGACTGTTGGGGTCACAGGTTCCAGCTCGTCCTGTGAACATGTGGTGAGTCTGAGCTGCTGTTTGTAAATGTAAACCTCCAGTTCTCTCCTGTGATTGGTGCATCGTCCAAGAGCCTGACCAATCCTGGGCCTCCCCCTACAGGGTCACACCTTAAAAGCCCCCTGCCGCCCCCTGCCGCCCCCTGCCCCCCGCCCCCTGCCCCCTGCCTGCCGCTGTCACACCACGGGTTTTTTTTTTTTTTTAGTTTTTTTTTTATGTTTGGACCAAAACAACACGACGCTGCCCAAACCTACGACGAACATCAGACCGGAGACGGAAGAGCCGACGTCACGGTGGGCGTGTCCGTCACAGCGGCTCGTACCACTGGGGGAGGAGCTCGACCGAAACGGCGTCTTGAAAATAAAAGATTAAAATTTCCTCAAACATGAATCAGTCCAAGTAAAGTTCAGAGGGTCAGAAAGAAGAAACGACCAGAACATGGAGAAAAGATGTGAAAAGTGCAGTTTGCAGCGTGCGTCGCGTTTAAACCCGCGCTGCCGTTGTGTTTGTGTGTGTTTGTGTGTTTTTTACGTTCGTGAGCTCTCGTTTCAGTCACAGGAAGTCGCTCTCACCACAGAAGCTTTCACACTTCTAGAAGCCGCGGCCTGTCGCTCCTGCAGCAGCTCTCGGCGTCTCTGCGGTTTTCTGACTCTCTGCTCAGGCTAAAATAAAAAACATGTTCTCTTTTTCTCAGTAGAAACGCCCAGAACCTCTGACAGGAAACGATCTTTAGATACGAGCGACGAGGGCCCAGTGTTTAATGGTCAGAGGATTTTATTTTAAAGTCCGACCTGTGGCCTCCTCCTTTTTGTTGCGGCCGTCCTCAGGGTCCGAACATCCAATAAATAAACATTTGTATTCAATTATAGTTCACAAAACAACAAAAAAAGTGACTGTGTTTCTGTTCGTGGGGTGAGTGTGTGAAACAACGTCAGGTCCTGTCAAGTCCTTCTCTGCTGGCCTCAAAAAAATCTCTGACCGATGTTAAGGTCAGTGTCCAAATGTTCCGTCCTCTTCCTTTGCAGAGTTTTTCCGACGTTTGTGCTGCTTCCACACGTGGGTTTTCATGTTTAAATATTTGACCAATCACATTTCAGCATCATCTGTTGCCGGGCAGAGTCAGAGTCACAGAGCTTCTGCGGGAACTCGAACACGACATAAATGTTCGTGAAACTGTCGCTTCGACCAATCAGATTTAGAGTTGGTGTCACTGACCTGCATCTGTAAAGAGCAGCTGCGAGAATTTAAATGATTATTACTGTATTTAACTGTATTATTATTATTATTATTATTATTATTATTATTATTATTATTATTATTATTACTGTGTATTATTGTTATTAATTAACAGTGTGTAGTGGGATTTTTTGTAGTGGGAACAATCCCTGACTAAACCAGGACTAAACCAGGACTAAACCAGGACTAAACCAGGTCTAAACCAGGTCTAAACCAGGACTAAACCAGGACTAAACCAGGACTAAACCAGGACTAAACCAGGACTAAACCAGGACTAAACCAGGACTAAACCAGGACTAAAACCAGGACTAAACCAGGACTAAAAAAACCAGGACTAAACCAGGACTAAACCAGGTCTAAACCAGGACTAAACCAGGACTAAACCAGGACTAAACCAGGACTAAACCAGGACTAAACCAGGACTAAACCAGGACTAAAGGACTAAACCAGGACTAAACCAGGACTAAACCAGGACTAAACCAGGACTAAAACCAGGACTAAACCAGGACTAAACCAGGTCTAAACCAGGACTAAACCAGGACTAAACCAGGACTAAACCAGGTCTAACCAGGACTAAATAAACCAGGACTAAACCAGGACTAAACCAGGACTAAACCAGGTCTAAACCAGGACTAAAACCAGGACTAAACCAGGACTAAACCAGGACTAAACCAGGACTAAACCAGGACTAAACCAGGACTAAACCAGGTCTAAACCAGGACTAAACCAGGTCTAAACCAGGACTAAACCAGACTAACCAGGACTAACCAGGACTAAACCAGGTCTAAACAGGACTAAACCAGGTCTAAACCAGGTCTAAACCAGGACTAAACCAGGTCTAAACCAGGACTAAACCAGGTCTAAACCAGGACTAAACCAGGACTAAACCAGGTCTAAACCAGGACTAAATCAGGACTAAAAGGTCTAAACCAGGACTAAACCAGGATAAACAGGACTAAACCAGACTAAACCAGGACTCTAAACCAGGTCTAAACAAGGACTAAACCAGGACTAAACCAGGTCTAAACCAGGTCTAAACCAGGACTAAACCAGGACTAAACCAGGTCTAAACCAGGACTAAACCAGGACTGATCTTGGACATGAGAGAGAACCCCAAGTCCATGGAGCAGAGTGTTCGTCCTAGTTTAGATCTGGCTTAGTCCTGGTTTAGACCTGTTTTACTCCTGGCCTGGTTCAGTCCTGGTTTACTCCTGGTCCGTTTTCAGTTTTTTTTTTTTTTTCATTTTTCATTTAAACACAAAATCAAAAACTGAAAAAATGAATCATTATCTGTTTTTTTATTTATTTTATTTTTTCATTTTGGTTTTGGTGACAAATATTGAAGAAAATTGTTGTTTTTTTCATTTTCTTATTTTTGGTTTTATTTTGAAAAACAAACGAACAAATGACACACAGATTATAACTTCCTGTGAGGTTATTATTTTGTTTTTATATAGGAAGTGTAAGGAATGGAAAAAAAGCCAATAAGATCTTTAGTTGATGATGTCACAAGGTGGAACCAAGCATTTTGTTGCCAGATGACGTCACGTTCGTTGAGGATTCGCTTCATAACTGGATTTGTTTTTCGCTGATTTCTGTGACGTTTTCTTGGGTTTATTTTTTGAGCCGTAGTTTCAGATGTTTCAGAAAAGCATCTTCTGAGTGAAGGCGAGGAAGAGGAGGAGGCAGACGCCGACGTGGACCGACGCTCCGGAACTCCTGGGCACATCCTGAGAAGAACCGTCATCTTCTGTAAGAGGAACAGAGGATGAAGAGGAGAAGGTGACAGGATGAAGGAGAAGGAGAGGAATGATGAAGGAGGATGAAGAAGATGAGAGGATGAAGAGGATGAAGAGGAGAAGGTGAAGGTGAAGAAGGATGAAGGATGAAGAAGGTGAGGATGAAGAGAGAGAAGGTGAGAGGATGAGAGGATGAGAGGAGAAGGATGAGAGGATGAGAGAGATGAGAGGATGAAGAGGAGAAGGTGAGAGGAGAAGAGAAGAAGAGGATGAAGAAGAGAAGGATGAGAGGAAGAGAGAGGTGAGAAGAGAGAAGGTGAGAGGAAAGAGGAATGAAGAGAGAAGAAGGTGAGAGGAGAGGTGAGGATGAAGAGAGAGAAGGTGAGAGGATGAAGAGGAGAAGGTGAGAGGATGAAGAGGAGAAGGTGAGAGGATGAAGAAGAGAAGGTGAGAGGATGAAGAGGAGAGGTGAGAGGATGAAGAGGGAGAGGATGAAGAGAGAAGAGAGGGAGAGAGGATGAAGAGAGAGAAGAAGAAGAGAGATGAGAGGAGAGGATGAGAAGAAGGATGAGAGGATGAAGAGGAGAGAAGAGAGGATGAGAGAGAGAAGGTGAGAGGATGAAAGAGGATGAAGAGAGAGAGGTAGAGAGAGAAGGTGAAGAGGAGAAGAGAGGATGAGAAGGTGAGAAGGTGAGAGAGGAGAGGATGAAGAGAAGAGAGGATGAGAGAGAGGTGAGAGGAGAGAGGATGAAGAGGAGAGAAGGTGAGAGGATGAAGAGGAGAAGGTGAGAGGATGAGAGAGAGAGGTGAGAGGATGAGAAGATGAGAGGTGAGAGGTGAGAGGATGAGAGAGAGGTGAGAGAAGAAGAGGAGAGGTGAGAGGATGATGAAGAGGAGAGGAGGTGAAAGAGGATGAGAGGAGAGAGGAGAAGAGAGGTGAAGAGAAGGAGAGGTGAGAGGATGAAGGAGAAGGTGAGAGGTGAGAGGATGAGGAGAGAGAGAAGGTGAGAGGATGAGAAGGTGAGAGGTGAGAGAGGAGGTGAGGAAGAGAGAGGAGAGGAGGTGAAGAGGATGAGAAGGTGAGAGGAGAGAAGGAGAGAGTGAGAAGGAGATGAAGGAGAGAAGGTGAGAGGATGAAGAGAGAAGGTGAGAAAGGAGAAGGTGAGATGAGAAGAGAAGAGAGGAGAAGGAGGTGAAGAGGATGAAGAAGGAAGGTGAGAGGATGAGAGGATGAAGAGGAGGAGGTCAGAGGAGCAGAGGGTCACCATTATCTCCACTGTATTCATCGTTGAACATATCTTCTATATCGTCTGCGCAGAAAACACAAGAAAAATAATAAAATAAAATTCACCAGTTACTTTTGCCCTTGAGCAAGACACTCCCCACACGTCCGTCTGTTTCAAATCGAGAGAATGAAAAATACAAAACTGTGATGGTCAAGAAAAAGTGACACACTTTACATTAAAGTTTTAATCGGAATAAAAATAATTATATCCTGAATTAAAAAGTTCATGTAAACACATGAAAATGATTATTCATGATTAAACTTAATTCTGAAGTAAGTGGGTGAATTTGTTCATTTTTCAAAATAAAACCAAAAATAAAACAAAAAAACAATTTTCTTCTTATTTGATTTTTTTTTTTTAGTTTTCGATGTTTCAGTGAACGGACTGAACCAGGACTAAACCATTTTCGGTCCTGGTTTAAGTCCTGGTCTCAGTTCCGGTTTCAGAGCAGAGGAGGAAGAGGAGAAGGTCAGAGGATGAAGACGAGAAGGTCAGAGGATGAAGAAGAGGAGAAAGGTCGAGAAGGTCAGAATGAAGAGAGAGAAGGTGAGAGGATGAAGAAGAGAAGGTCATGAGGAGAAGAGGAGAAGGTCAGAGATGGATGAAGAGGAGAAGGTCAGAGGATGAAGAGGAGAAGGTCAGAGAGATGAGAGAAGAGGAAGGTCAGTCAGAGGATGAAGAGGAGAAGGTCAGAGGAGGTGAAGAAGAGAGAAGGTCAGAGGATGAAGATGAGAGAAGAAGGTCAGAGGATGAAGACGAGAAGGTCAGAGGATGAAGACGAGAAGGTCAGAGGATGAAGAAGAGAAGGTCAGAGGATGAAGAGGAGAAGGTCAGAGGATGAAGAGGAGAAGGTCAGAGGATGAAGAGAGAAGGTCAGAGGATGAAGAAGAGAAGGTCAGAGGATGAAGAAGAGAAGGTCAGAGGATGAAGAGAGAAGGTCAGAGAAGATGAAGAGAGAAGGTCAGAGGATGAAGAGAAGAGAAGGTCAGAGGATGAAGAAGGAGAAGGTCAGAGGATGAAGAAGAGAAGGTCAGAGGAATGAAGAGGAGAAGGTCAGAGGATGAAGAAGAGAAGGTCAGAGGATAAGAGAGAAGAGAGAGAGGTCAGAGGATGAAGACGAGAAGGTCAGAGGATGAAGAAGAGAAGGTCAGAGGATGAAGAGGAGAAGGTCAGAGGATGAAGACGAGAAGGTCAGAGGATGAAGAGAGAGGTCAGAGAAAAGAAGAGTCAGAGAGATCAGAGGAATGAAGAGAGAAGGTCAGAGGATGAAGAGAGAAGGTCAGAGGATGAAGAGGAGAAGTCAGAGGATGAAGGAGAGAAGGTCAGAGGAGAAGAAGAGAAGGTCAGAGGATGAGAGGTGAGAGGTCAGAGGATGAAGAGAGAAGGTCAGAGGATGAAGAGAGGAGAAAGGTCAGAGGATGAAGAAGAGAGAAGGTCAGAGGATGAAGAGAGAAGAGAAAGAGAAGAGGATGAAGAGAGAAGGTCAGAGGATGAAGAAGAGAAGGTCAGAGGATGAAGAAGAGAAGGTCAGAGGATGAAGAGGAGAAGGTCAGAGGATGAAGAGGAGAAGGTCAGAGGATGAAGAAGAGAAGGTCAGAGGATGAAGAGGAGAAGGTCAGAGGATGAAGAAGAGAAGGTCAGAGGATGAAGAGAGAAGGTCAGAGGATGAAGACGAGAAGGTCAGAGGATGAAGAGAGAAGGTCAGAGGATGAAGAGGAGAAGGTCAGAGGATGAAGAGGAGAAGGTCAGAGGATGAAGAGAGAAGGTCAGAGGATGAAGAGAGAAGGTCAGAGGATGAAGAGAGAAGGTCAGAGGATGAAGAGGAGAAGGTCAGAGATGAAGAGAGAAGGTCAGAGGATGAGGATGAAGAGGAGAAGGTCAGAGGATGAAGAAGAGAAGGTCAGAGGATGAAAGAGAGAGGTCAGAGGATGAAGAATAGAAGGTCAGAGAGGATGAAGAAGAGAAGGTGAGAGGATGAAGAGGAGAAGGTCAGAGGATGAAGAAGAGAGAAGTCAGAGGATGAAGAAGAGAAGGTCAGAGATGAAGAGGAGAAGGTCAGAGGATGAAGAGGAGAAGGTCAGAGGATGAGAAGAGAAGGTCAGAGAGATGAAGAGGAGAAGGTCAGAGAAGGTCAGAAGATGAAGAAGAGAAGGTCAGAGGATGAAGAGGAGAAGGTCAGAGGAAGAGGAGAAGGTCAGAGGATGAAGAAGAGAAGGTCAGAGGATGAAGACGAGAAGGTCAGAGGATGAAGAGAGAGAGAGGTCAGAGGAGAAGAGAGAAGGTCAGAGGATGAAGAAGAGAAGGTCAGAGGATGAAGACGAGAAGGTCAGAGGATGAAGACGAGAAGGTCAGAGGATGAAGAAGAGAAGGTCAGAGGATGAAGAAGAGAAGGTCAGAGGATGAAGACGAGAAGGTCAGAGGATGAAGAGAGAAGGTCAGAGGATGAAGAGAGAAGGTCAGAGAGATGAAGAGAGAAGGTCAGAGGATGAAGAAGAGAAGGTCAGAGGAACAGAGGATGAAGAAGAGAAGGTCAGAGGATGAAGAAGAGAAGGTCAGAGGATGAAGACGAGAAGGTCAGAGGATGAAGACGAGAAGGTCAGAGGATGAAGAAGAGAAGGTCAGAGGATGAAGACGAGAAGGTCAGAGGATGAAGAATAGAAGGTCAGAGGATGAAGAGGAGAAGGTCAGAGGATGAAGAGGAGAAGGTCAGAGGAGAAGACCAGAAGGTCAGAGGATGAAGAGAGAAGGTCAGAGGATGAAGAAGAGAAGGTCAGAGGATGAAGAAGAGAAGGTCAGAGGATGAAGAAGAGAAGGTCAGAGGATGAAGAGGAGAGAAGGTGAGAGGATGAAGAAGAGAGAAGGTGAGAGGATGAAGAAAAGGTCAAGAGAGTCAGAGGATGAAGAGAGAAGGTGAGAGGATGAAGAGGAGAAGGTCAGAGGATGAAGAAGAGAAGGTCAGAGGATGAAGAAGAGAGGTCAGAGGATGAAGAGGAGAAGGTCAGAGATGAAGAGAGAAGGTCAGAGGATGAAGAGGAGAAGGTCAGAGGATGAAGAGGTCGAGAAGGTCAGAGGATGAAGACGAGAGGTCAGAGGATCAGAAGAAACGAGAAGGTCAGAGGATGAAGAAGAGAAGGTCAGAGGATGAAGAAGAGAAGGTCAGAGGATGAAGAGAGAAGGTGAGAGGATGAAAAGAGAGAAGGTCAGAGGATGAAGAAGAGAAGGTCAGAGGAACAGAGAGATGAAGAGAGAAGGTCAGAGGAACAGAGGATGAAGAAGAGAAGGTCAGAGGAACAGAGGATGAAGAAGAGAAGGTCAGAGGATGAAGAGGAGAAGGTCAGAGGATGAAGAGAAGAGAAGGTCAGAGGATGAAGAGGAGAAGGTCAGAGGATGAAGAGGAGAAGGTCAGAGGATGAAGAGGAGAAGGTCAGAGGATGAAGACGAGAAGGTCAGAGGATGAAGAGAGAAAGGTCAGAGGATGAAGAGGAGAAGGTCAGAAGGTCAGAGGATGAAGAGGAGAAGGTCAGAGGATGAAGAGAGAAGGTCAGAGGATGAAGAGGAGAAGGTCAGAGGATGAAGAGGGAGAAGGTCAGAGGATGAAGAGGAGAAGGTGAGAGGATGAAGAGGAGAAGGTGAGAGGATGAAGAAGAGAAGGTGAGAGGATGAAGAGAGAAGGTGAGAGGATGAAGAGGAGAAGGTGAGAGGATGAAGAGAGAAGGTGAGAGGATGAAGAGAGAAGGTGAGAGGATGAAGAAGAGAAGGTGAGAGGATGAAGAGGAGAAGGTGAGAGGATGAAGAGGAGAAGGTGAGAGGATGAAGAGAGAAGGTGAGAGGATGAAGAGGAGAAGGTGAGAGGATGAAGAGGAGAAGGTCAGAGGATGAAGAGAGAAGGTCAGAGGATGAAGAGGAGAAGGTCAGAGGTTGAAGGAGAAGGTCAGAGGATGAAGAGGAGAAGGTGAGAGGATGAAGAGAGAGGAGAGGATGAAGAGAGGAGCAGAGGAGAGTTTCAGAGGAGCAGAGGAGAGTTTCAGAGGAGCAGAGGGTCACCATGAGCATCATAGTCGATCGTACCTTCTTCGTTGTCATAGTCTGGACGAGCCTCTTCGCCGTTTGCTGCAGGAAACTGGACCTGAAAAGGCTGAGCAGAAAACACAAGAAAAATAATCAAATAAAATTCACCAGTTACTTTTGTGTTTCATGTGGAGAGAATGAAGAACACAAAACTGTGATGATCGAGAAAACATCACCAACACAGACTGTCTGTCTTCGTCTACAGTGGGGGTGTCAAACATCCGGCCCGTGGACCGGATCCGACCCTCCAAGACCTTTAATCTGTCCCTCGGCTGATTTTCTACTCAAATATTTTAATGATATTTTCTATTAAAATGGTGTTAATTTTGTGTGGTGTTTATCACAGCAGCGTCTCCAGCGTCTCTGTACGTGGCCCCTCCCACCAGAGCAGCACAAATGAAGACTTGTCTCTTTCCAAACGCTCTTAAAGGACGATCGTTTTGACTGTTGACCGTGACACCCTCATCAGAAAAATGTCCAACATGAGAAAAGTGGAGCCGAGTGCAGGATTTTACAACAAAAATGGACCTGGTTTAGATCTGGGTCAGTTCTGGTTTAGACCTGGTTTTCGCTCTATCATGATTCACCTTTTCGTGGTCTCGCTGTTTCGCGGATTTTTTTTAAATGCAATTTTACATGCCTTTTTTTTTTACAGTGTATGAACATGTATTGTGTTCCTCCCGCTGCGTCCTGATTGGCTCAGAGACTCCTGTCTCCTGTTCAGTACAGATGTGTTCAGTTTGACAAATGTACATAAATGTTGGATCAGTGTGATTCTGAAGTGCTCGATGTTTGTGAATTTTCTCCCCGACAAAACCCCCAATGTCGACAAAACCTTCTGCACTGACAAAGTCTCCTGCGCTCACACCCAAAAGGCCGAGGAAAATGTAACCATCACACAAAAAGTTGGACTTCTGGACACGCTGAAGGAAGAGAGACGTTACGTGGCTGTGGCAGAGTCCTGCACCGGGTCGGGTCCCTGCAAACAGTTGCTGAAACCAGGACTTGAGAGAGAGAACCTTGAGCCATCGGGCGACGGCCACGTTTACCTCCGTGAGGTGCAGAGCTGAGCTGCTCCTTTCTCCTGCGGTCGCCTCCGAGCCCGACCCCACAGTGAGTCCGGTTTTAGTCCTAATTCAGTTCTGCTTTGGTCCTCCTCTTCAGTCCTGGAGTCAGTCTGAGGTTAGTCCTGTCATAGTCCTGGTTCAGCTCTGGTTTAGTCCTGGTTTAGTCCATATATGGTGCAAAAGTTCAGAATCTTCAGTTCTTTTGGTGAGAGTAACTTAAAGTTCTGTAATAGTCGTGTCATGTTTTATATTTTAAATGCAGTAATATTGTAATGTAACGAATCACTTTGAAATGACAGAAACACGTCATAAATAAAACATTACAGTTTTAAAGTCACTTGTCCAACAGTGATAATGTTAACAAAGGCACAAAAGTTTATCGTTTATGATCGTGCAAAATAAACAACAATGAGAATTAAAATTTAAAAAACAAAAAGTTCAAGTGTTTTTTAGAGGTTTTTCAACTGCACAGATATTTCATAAATCTGTGACACACATTTAAGAGCGAGTGGTTCCAGAGAATTATTTTGCAGAAACTTCTCTATAAAGTGAAACAGAGCAGGTCTCAGTTTCAGGTTTTGTGTGCAGCTGTTTCAGAGCTACGCCACTTTAACACAAAAACACAATTTCACAATATTTGGTTTTGATAAGCGTGGTGCTTCCTCTGAGCTCACCTCGGTTATTTTTGGATTTTGAAGATGTTTTGTAGTGATTTTGAAGATATTGTTGATTATTTTGAACATGATTTTCAAAGTGTAAAGCTCAAATAAATGCTCAGATTTCAGAGTTTATAAATAAAACATTAGTTGGTTCATTTTAAGCTGATAATGTGATGCTCTCATTTCCTTTTTTTACAGATAAAGATTTGAGGATTTGTTTTAGCCTCACTCGTATCGGCCCAGATCTCGGGTCGGTCGGTTTTGTCAAATGTCACCAGTGTAAAGAAGAAAAAGGCGTTTTTTATTTAAGATGTATTGATATTTTTTTCTGTTTTAGTCCTGGTTAAATCCTGTTTTAAGTCCTGGTTTTAGTTCTGGTTTATACCCGGTTTAGACCTGGTTTAGATCTGGTTTGGTCCTTGTTTAGACCTGGTTTAGACCTGGTTTGGACCTGGTTTAGTCCTGGTTTAGTCCAGGTCTGTGTTTGTGACGAGAAAACTTCAGATATAGTGACAGAAATAAAAAAGAAGAAGAAACAAACAGAGAAGTTGTGAGTCCAGCGCAGAAACAAACACGTGTGGAGATTTCAACTCAAAATAAAACTCCAAAACTCCAAAACTCCAAAACTCCAAACCTCCAAACCTTAAAATCTCCATACTCCAAATTCCAAAATGTCCAAACTCCAAAAAAACTCCAAACTCCAAACTCTAAACTCCAAACTCTAAACCTCCAAACCTCCAAACTCCAAACCTCTGTTACTCTGAATTATTTTCTATTTTTATGTTTTTCTCTGTAGTTTTTTTGTACTCACCGATGAGCAGCAGCCACAGCAGCAGCTTCATCCTGACAAACGCCGTTTCCTCTCTCACTCTGAACGTCTCACTTCAAGTTTTTAGAAAGCATCAGCTGATCTCTCACATCCTCTTCCTCCTCCTCCTCCTCCTCACCGCAGCCTCCACTGACATCATCTGCTATTAGTACATTTATGTTAAAGCTGCAACACGGAACTTCCACGGCATTTGGACTTAAGTCTTGTCTCCGACTCGAGGTCTGACATTAACGTAACTCCAGTCGGGAACTTGGAAAAAGCAGAAGATTTTGTTCACAGTTTTGTGTAAAGTTCCAGTGGAAGTTTCTCTGAAAACTGTGGGTCAGGGTCCAAAAAAGAGACGTAGACGTGTAGATTTATAAAAACATTGATATATTTGTGCCAAAACAAATATAAACTACAAATAAATGTCGAAAATTTCAGAGATGGTCTTGATTTGGTCTCAGTGGGTTGTGATCTTGGTCTCGTTTCGGTCTCAACCTTTAAAAGTCTCAGTCTTTAAAAGTCTTGGTCTCAGCCTTTTAAACGTCTCGGTCTCGTCTCGATCTGGACCTTTAAAAGTCTCAGCCTTGTCTTGGTCTCATCTCGGTCTTTAAAAGTCTTGGTCTCAGCTTTTAGCTTTTAAAAGTCTTGGTCTCGTCTCAGTCTCGACCCTTAAAAGTCTTGGTCTCGTCTCGGTCTGGACCTTTACAAGTCTCGGCCTCCTCTTGGTCTCGTCTCAATCTCAACCTTTAAAAGTTTCTGCCTTTAAAAGTCTCAGTCTCAGCTTTTAAAAGTCTTGGTCTCATCTCGGTCTCGACCTTTAAAAATCACGGTCTTTAAAAGTCTTGGTCTCAGCTTTTTAAAAGTATCAGTCTTGTCTCGGTCTTGACCTTTAAAAGTCTTGGTCTTTAAAAGTCTCGGTCTTTAAAAGTCTCGGTCTTTAAAAGTCTCGGTCTCTTTTAAAAGTCTCGGTCTTTTAAAAGTCTCGGTCTTTAAAAGTCTCGGTCTTTAAAAGTTCGGTCTCAGCTTTTAAAAGTCTCGGTGTCTCGTCTCGGTCTGGACCTTTAAAGTCTCTGTCTTGGTCTCATCTCGGTCTTTAAAAAGTCTCGCTTTAAAGTCTCGTCTCAAGTCGTCTTTTAAAAGTCGGTCTCTTTAAAAGTCTCTTTAAAAGTCTCTCTTTAAAAGTCTCGGTCTCTTTTAAAAGTCTTTAAAAGTTCTCTCTTTAAAAGTCTCGTCTCGTCCCGGTCTCAACCTTTAAAAGTATCGGTTTCTTTAAAATCTTGGTCTTTAAAAGTCTTTTCTCGGTCTGACCTTTAAAAGTCTCGGTCTTTAAAGTCGGTCTCGGTCTTTAAAAGTCTTGGTCTCTTTAAAAGTCTCGTCCTTAAAAGTCGGTCTTTAAAGTCTTTAAAATCGGTCTCCTTTAAAAGTCTCAGTCTCTCTTTAAAGTCTCAGTCTTTAAAAGTCTCGGTCTTTAAAGTCTCGGTCTTTAAAAGTCTCGGTCAGTCTAGCTTTTAAAAAAGTCTCGTCTCAGTCTCGACCTTAAAAGTCTTGGTCTCGTCTCGGTTTGGACCTTTAAAGTCTCGTCCTCCTCTTGGTCTCGTCTCTTTAAAAGTTTCTCTTTAAAAGTCTTCTCAGCTTTTAAAGTCGGTCTTCTCGGTCTCTTTAAAATCTCGGTCTTTAAAATCTTTAAAAGTCTCTTAAAAGTTTTAAAAGTCTCGTCTTTAAAAGTCTCGGTCTCTCTTTTAAAAGTCTCGGTCTTTAAAAGTCGGTCTTTTAAAAGTCTCGGTCTTTAAAAGTCTCGGTCTCAGTCTTTAAAAGTCTCGGTCTCTGCTTAAAAGTCTCGGTCTCGTCCCGGTCTCAACCTTTAAAAGTCTCGGGCTTTAAAAGTCTCGGTCTTTAAAACTTTAAAAGTCTCGGTCTTTAAAAGTCTCGTCTTTAAAAGTCTCGGCCTTTAAAAGTCTCGGTCTCGTCTCGGTCTGGACCTTTAAAAGTCTCGGTCTTGTATCAGTCTGGACCCTCAGAGGCCTCGGTCTTGTCCTGGTCTCGGGACCCTGTGGTCTGGGCCAGGTCTTGGTCTTGACTACGACACTAGAGGATCGAGAAAGATTCGTGTGAACAAAACAATATACAACAATAATTTCAGTTTTCGACAACTCTCCTGGAGAAGGCAGAAAAGAAAGAAACAAACGGGAAAAACACCACGGTACAAATCACTCACTGCTGCGGAGGGAATTATGCTGGAAAAATTTGCCATGTTTTTTTCATTACACCGAAAATCCCGAGCGCTGGAGTTTGTTCGGCGAAATGGACGCTGATCACACTCGGGTTTTGGAGTTGCCTGAAAATTTGGGTAAATTAAACACAACCTTAAAATTTATCGGGCTCCATATTTTCCCGACTGTGGCAATGGAACGATTTTACAACGGATGTCGGATTTATCCACTAACCACATTCAAAAGATGCATCAAAAATCTCGGACTTCCGGTCATCGTGCAATTCACACTGGGAAGGATTTTCTGAAAAAGTGAGCGTCAAACCTCCATGTTTGTTTTCCCAGTGGGACGTGTCTATTGTCAAAGTCGATCTTTTCAAGTCTTTTGAACCATTTCACTTTTGTTTCTGGTTCTGATATTGTCACATTTTAGTTTTGGGATTCGGACGTCGTTAATTGTTGTGGTTGTTGGATCCAAACAGCGGAAAACGACTCGAGAAATGTGTTTGTGAACTTCATAAATGCAAAAGTG